CAACATAAATGGAATTGCTGCAACCTATGTGTAGTACATGTCAATCTTTTCTGCCACAGAGAGCATCCCAATCATCAATTATCCTACACGAATTAGTGAATTTTGGTCTTCTGTTATAAGGTAATTATATGTTTAGTTTTAATTCACAATATACCTATAGTGTACATTTAATTGTAAATATTACTAACAATGCAATATTTTTTTTTTATAATAAAAAAAGTACAAATTATATTTTTAAAGAGTAAAATATAATTTAATTCACAAAATGTATTTAAGATATGTTTATATTTATATTTAATTTAATATAACTATATATATTTATATATTCTTTTCCAATGTAATGTATCTGACTATATTTTGCATTTCACAGACCAAGTCAGTAACATGACGATACAAGGGATTGTCATTTTATTGGTATCAATAACACAAGTATTATCTGCACCAAGTGGATGTATAGAATCTTGTAGCCATTCTATCAAACACTTCCAAGTTGGTTCACAAACATCTGGTAGCATTCAAAATCATGATTTAACGCAAACTTCAGCGCGTTTAGAAGGACTTGACTATTCCAAACCTGGAACTTGGTCAGAACACAATGACTACAATACGGATAATGGAAATGGGAAAATACATGAAGAACGGGGTCAATATGTTGATGGTTCCAAGACGGTAAGATACTACAAGAAGAATTATTCATCATCTTACAATACAGGATACCCAAGTGGTGCAGAATTATCGGAGATTGAACAGGAAAATAGACACGGTGTTTATGTACCTAATATGGAAGAAAACATTAATTCTCAAAGGACATATGATCAAGTAAGTAATATTGGATCAATGGCACAACATAGTGGAACACACAGTGAACACAGAGAATCATCGATCATAAGAGGCAACGCTCGTAGCGAAAGGCTCGAGGATCTTGGAGAATATGATACTGGGTCGAATACGCAAATCTCTCAAAACCCCTTTTATACTAATACACAACCTGGAAATTGGAGCAAAGTGGATTCATATAGAACTGATGGAGGACATGGACGAGTGTTTGAAGAAGAAGGTCAATACGTAACAGGACCTAAGAAAATTCGTTATTACAAGAGGAACTACACTTCCAGTTCTGGCTCATCCAGTGGTATTCCTACACTTACGACAAGTAGAATTGGAGTACACAACTTAGACAGAGAACTAGAAAACTTGCAAAGAGAAATTGAGCAAAAATTAAAACAGATGTCTGCTACAACAAACATGGCGTCTAGTAATATTGCACAAACAAATATTAATATGCATGGATTGACCAGTGATAGTCTTCATAATATAAACAGTAATGTTCATAGAGGTCATGTCAATCATGGAAGCAGTTTATTTACGACGAATCATGATGATGAACAAGACTATATACAGCAAACAGATACTGATATTGGACCTTATAAAAGTCCTTCTCAGAATATTAAAGATACAAGAAATTCTAATATGTATGAAAACCACGAGGTATACACAACAAACCAACAACCTACAATAGGACATATTAATGTACTTAATACTGGAAGGAGCAGTTACAATAAAAATATATACAGTGGAGGAATGACACAACAACATAGAGATAATCTGCAGCAAACAGAACTTTTGGATAGTCAGCAGAAAAAGTTTGTTGATGATAATTTAAGGCAGAATACGTACAATCTAAATAGCCCAATAAATTCAGACACAGGTCGATTTCCGCATTACAAAGAACAATGGAGTTCTTCTAGTCACATGCAAGAAATTTCACGACCTCAACATTTTGCAGATATTCCATACATTAACGAGCAGAATGCACAGTACAACAATAGATATAGAGAAAATAGTTTTCATTCCGAGCATCAATCAAAATTAGGAAAACTGATGTCTGGAACATTGGATTTAAGTCAAGTAGGAAATAATGCAGACTGCACACATGGAACAATTGAGCATGTGCACACCAGCTCTCAACACCAAACAATGTACAAACGTGATGCTAAATCTGATGAATCCAGTTATACACAAGAATATCCAACTAAGCAGTTAAGTCAACAACATCAAGATTTCAGTGCAGGTGCAAATGCAGATATGATCCAACAAACAGATCAATTCGATGATTTTACTCAACAGACTTCTGGAAAACTAGAGTTTGGACAGCAGTCACAAAGTACTTATCATCC